ATGCACTTACCATGTACATACATATGAGTGATGGCTCTTATATTAGGAATATGTTTAACATATACCTATCTTTATCGCTAATGTTTCAATCAATCAAAGATTTTAAAATAGAAAATACTATGAGATTTCATACTACAAGTTCTGTTCAGTAGACTTCGCGAGCACAAACTTTTTTGCAACAATTTATTTTGCTCATCACGCCGAAAATCTTCACCAAATTTTTGTAAGATAACTTACAGTTACTACCTATCAAATAAAAAAAGAACCATCGAAGTCGGTTCTCATGAGGCCAAGATATCCAGTAACCCCCATTTCGTTCCTTTTTGGAGAAAGTACTCTTCCAATCAAAAATCCTCGACGACAAAAAAAATCTATTAAGTCATAGAACCTGTATACCAAGTTTTGTCCAGATCGTCCAAACTAGAAGCACGCATCGCTCACTCGGTCAATTAAATTTTGTGAATTTCAAATTAGATTTAATATTTATAAGCAGGTACTTGGTACGTATTCCAAAGCTTGAGTTCCAAAAACCTATTACCTCATATGCCTTGATCATTGCAAATATGATATAGAGATAGAGGTGATATGTATATACTGGAGATGCAATCGATTCTCTATGAAATAAGTATTTATGAAAATCTAAGTGTATGTCCGTTTGTTCACTGTGTTCAACGAACTTTTGAGCTTTCTATTGTGCTTGAGTATGTGAAGCTATTCATATGTATAGGTGTTGTAAATAATAATAGCTTTTCCATATTAAGCTGACATGATAATTATTTACGAACTAGCATTGCCCGCGGCTCCAACCGCGTTCAGGTGGCCAAAAACCAAATTCTTAGGTTTTACTGATTAGTATACTCCTACATTGCAATTTTTGCATTTTACCTCAGAAATGAGATATTTTCCCGCACTAAAAACTATCCTATATATTGACCCGGATATCCAGCTATCATCATACCAAATTTCATCAAAATCCCTGCACTGGTTTTTCTGTGATACGATAACAGACAGACAGACAGGCAGACAAAAATTCTAAAAACTATAGATTCGGCCTCTGTATCGATAATAATGTCTATTTCAATAATATTTTCCAAAAAATATTTAATGTACAGATTTGACTTAGTTAGAATTTTATTATATGTATGAATAGTAAATAAACTAATTTTATTGGAAACTTCACTGATAGTGGTAGAGCGGGATTTAAAAGTGGGAACCGTGGCGCAATTAAAGAGTGGCCCTAATAATATTGCTGAGAAATTAAATATAAAATTACGAGTATGTAATTTATTTCCTTTTTTTTCAAATTTACCCCAAAAACGAGTTTATTAATTTCACATAAAAATTAACATAGAACAGACTCCCAGTTTCTATTGGTGAAATAAGCTACCATATACTTTCTGAGTGGAATTACAGATAATACCTAGTTATGTTATAATACAAATGATTTATTATCAATAAACTATATTAATCTTTATTAAAAAATGTTGTTCGTTTCTACTATACTGTAATAAGTTATATTTTATATAATATATTTTTAAATTTTAGCAAGTTCAACGACATTTTAAGATATGTACAAGATCGTTTACGGTCATTTAATTAAATAAATATGTAGTTAAAATTTGAATATAATATTATAATAATCTGTTAATAAAGCTTTTGTAACAAATACTTCACATATTTCATATTATGATTTAATTAGTAGATAAAAGTTAACTAAAAATTACAATATAGTAATTTTCAGTGTGGTCTTAACTTATGTATATTGTAAACTATTGTAGTTTTAACGAAGTTCCTACAGAATACTCAAAAGTTGGACGAAAACTGGTCGGGTTCAACGTTCTTTCCTCATTAGTTTTTGATCACAGCCTCCCAAAAACGTAAAGGTGTAACCCGAACACAGATATTAAAGGAAACCAAATTTTATTTTCACGGATTAAGGTTAAAATTTGATTAGCACACGTGACTAGGAATTTTTTTCATTTTACGGTCACACAACTGGTTCTATACTTTAAGACGGTCGAAATGATAAAATTCCTCAGTTCGGTGTACTCACAGATTAGGAAATTTTTCTAAGCTATAAGTTTGAAATGTTTATAGACATCGCTCGGGGCCGGTTTTTGTAGCTATTATATACCGATAATTTTCGGTTGAATGTTAAAAAGGAATGTACCTATAGAGGCATCCGACGGTTATTCTCGTGTTTTAAAATTGGTCTGATAATCGACTGATCGGTTCACTTATAATCTTCATAGACAAAAAAATAAATTGTACTATTAAAGATACTATACGCAAAAATAGTGACTTTTAAGAAGCATGCAAGCCCTAAGACCAAAATATAACATCAAAATTATATATACATATATAAGGTTTTATTAATTTTTGCTTTCTTTAATTTAATAAGTGTTATAAAATGTTAATAATATTTATGATTTAGGTATATAACATAACATACAGATGGCATTTTAAAAAATAAATAGATTTTTTAAACCTTAAAGTATCAAGTTGTAGAGTAGATTTTCAACAAATACAAAACCCCCAATTACATACCTTTCTAATGAAAAAACTGCATGCAAACCAGTCCATGGTTAAGACACCAAAGACTTGCCGATACACAGATATAATACAGCCAAACATAAAACTCATAACACCCTTGTTTTGGATTTGGTAAAAGCTATTATATTAACAAGGTAATCGATACCAATAAAAAATACATTTTTACATTTATAATATTATTATGTTAATATTGTTAATATTAACAACTAGCAACTCAGCCTCCCTTCACTCGGGTTCCTCTCTAGGTAGATTTTAACGGCTAGTATGGAATAGATAGACTACTTATTTATCATATGATATAGGCTATAAGCTCTCTCAATAAACGGGCTATCTAAATCAAGAAGATTTTTTCAAATCAGATTAATAGTTCCTGAGATTAGCGCGTTCAAACAAACTGCCCCTTTATAATATTAAGTATAGATTACAAGAAAACTGTAAAACTTATCTTTTGGACTCAGTAATTATATTACGAAGGAGTGTAATTAGGACCTGGTAAAGAAAGGTACTTTGTAAAACGACTTCATTCTTATTCAAAGTAAAGCTAAGCTTTAGTTGGACCCCCAAAAACTACTATCTACACAGAAAGACACACCGTCCTTTAAAAATACATCAAAATAAGAAAAATCTGATTCCATCATTCTCATCATCAATTATTTCTATGAAAATTGGCATAGATTTTCATGCAACTTCTATTAATTTTGCCTAATTATGAATTATTATACCAAATCCATTAAATATATAAAATTTAATTAAATATTAACAAGTATATTTTTTACAATCGTTTCCTTTGATTGGTAAAAACCTTAACACATCATAATATGGAATGAACATTAGTATGGACGGTACGGTTACGAATTTCGTCGTGAGAGAATTTCAGGTTGAAAGATCTCTGATTTGCATTCAATAGATTTAAAAATAAAATATTCCACAAACGCGAAACAATTGAGTTTGGTCATTTTGAATTCTTTGTTTGTTAATCGTGTTAGAAATTACTGTTGTTTATATTAATGTAATGCGAAATATTTTATTACTTAGATATTAGATAAATTGAAATTCTTAAGACTAACCAGTCTTTTTTAGGAAAAGATATGTATTGTTTTTTATTCAGCCGTTTTTAACGTCTCACTACTGGGCACAGGTCACCCTTCGATACGTCGATCAGGCCATAGTCCACCACGCTGGCCAAGTGCGGGTTGGCGGACTTCACATATCTTTCAAGAACTTGCTAGGTTCTCTCAGAAAAGCAAGTTTTCACGATGTGTTCCTTTGCCGTAAGACAAGTGACATATTAGAAATTACTCGCAGATGAAAATATCAGAGGTGCGAGACCCGGGATTTGAACCCACCTTACTCGTTTTCGTAAACAAGCGCGTTACCACTGGGCTACCACTACCTTCAGAAATGATATGGAACAGTTAAATTTTCGTTTTAAATAATACTACAAAAACACTAAATAAATAAATAAATATGTCGGCACATAGCAGTATCCATACTAATGTTTTTTAATATTATGTGATAGTGTGTTTGTTTGTGTGTTTGTCCTTCGTTCACGCCGAAACAGAGTAACGGATTGGCATGATGTATGAAGATATTTGAAGGGTTTGACAGGGATATAGGCTACTTTTTAACGCGGGAGATTATCTCATTACCACGGTAAAACACGTTATAATACAGCCCACAACAACTCATCATACCTATGTATATAACATAATGTAATATATAGTATATCTATTTAATACTAACCGTTTAAACGTACCTAGAAACGAACCCGAGCGAAACCAAGACGAGTCGCTAGTATAAAAATAAATGACCGTCCAAATAATATAATTTTTAATAAGTAATATATTATTTTAAATACTATTAAAAAGCTTCTTTTATAATGAATAATCGTAATCTTTTAGCAGTGTATTGTTGACGTTAAAGCAATAATAATATCTAAACAAACAAATGAAAGACTAATTATGGTATGTATAATGTTTTATTGTCCGGTCGGCCATTAGTCGTTCTCTGCGAATTGATTAAATTTGCACTTCAAGCTTTGCGTTGCAGCTTCATGGTCAGGATACGTTGAAATTCAGGCTTTCTGAAATAAAAAAAAAAATAATTAAACAAAATAAAACAAAATATTCATTAAAAATTAATGACATTTCTAAGTTACTAAATTATTAATATTATATTATTTTATTCACAAAACTATATATTTAAGTTCAACTACATCAGTATATTTTTATATATGCTAATATATTGAATGAGATAAATAATCAATTTTCTATCTATGCTTTATCCCAATGGCTTCGATATAATTAAGACAAGTGCCCTCATTTTAGTTGATAGAAAATGTCATTGAATATATCCCATAAACCAACAGCTATCTTGACAGTTACAGATTGTTTATCTAATATGCATTTAATTAAACATGAAACCTTGTATATATCCATAATCTTTTAGACTATTCGACAAGCATTTGGGTACTGAGATGGAACAGAAACCATTTGTTTGAATGACTTCCTGCAGCAAGCTGGTACATTCTCACACTGTGGGTTGTGGATACAGCCTGGTATTGCACCGTAAGGTATGTAGTCACCGCTGATAGCTTGAGCTAAGCATTTCGGTATCATAAAACAGTGCGGCTCATGTCGACATACCATCTTTACTTTTTGTCTTACTTGAGTCCCGACTTCCTCCTTCGCGGTTAACACAATATACTTCCTAGAGCAAAGCGGAAGTTCGGCACATTTAGGGTTATGCCTACACAATGTGTGTTCACTATTTTTTTCAACTAATAAACATTCTGGCAACTTTCGGCACATTGGTACATGGACACAAGAATTATGTAATTTAGAATCGTACTTTGCTCTGTAGCAACTGTGGACAATTTCACATGGAGGATCGTGGTTGCAAATACTTTGAATAATTTTTTCGGATCGGAATTCTGGCAAACATTGTTGTAGCTCCGCGTAGGGTGGATGATACTGACTGGCATTGTTGAAAGTTTTTTGTTTAGATCGTTTTATTTTTCGACACATTTGGACAAAACTAGATTTTTTGCTTTGAGTCACAGGCCACAGATTTCCTTGTACATTGGACTTTGGAGGAGGTAGATTAAGACAACCATTGATTAAAATGCAAGGAGGATTGTGGATACACAATATTTCACCGTTATATTTTTCAGAAATTGCTCTGGTGATATCATCATGGCTTTCTTGGCAAGGTTTAGATTTATCATCTTGTGCCACAGATGGTGATGTTTTAGATTTAGACTTCTGTTTACTCTTAGGATAGCATTTACAAATAGTCTTCGGATCTTTATTTTCTTTATTTTTCTTTTTAGTAGATGTATTAGAATCTGTGATAGATGTTTCTGTTTGTTGACAGCAACTATTCGTATTAATTTGATCATAATAATTGTATTTATTCGGGTTTTCTGCTGGCGATAAATTTTCACAAGTAGTGGGGCTGCACGGTTGAGAAGGTTTGGTACATTCACAAGCTTCTTGATTTTGGATTTTGCTTTTCATTTTCTGTGCAAAAAAATCCCAAAATGCCGAGGAAATCGATGCTACTTTTGTAACACCTTCCGTTTTAGTAGAAGGGCAATTTGCCAAACAGGAAGTAGAAGCATATACTTGATATGGTAATTTTATTTGTAATTTAGATGGATATTGTTGTTGTTGATTATTTACAGTGTTACATTCTGCACATTCTTTACGTATCTCTTTTTCTAATTTATCTTTAACGCTCTTAAGAAATTTTCTATATTTATAATTTTTAATACTTTCCGCTTCCGCTTCCGATGACAAACTGACATCATAACTAACGTCAGAGTAATGATTAGCTTTATGATTAAATTCATGATCGTTGCTTAACTGGAATGGTGATGTTTGAACGTTTTCCTCAAGCGCGTAAACGGGTTGAACAGAATATCCTCTCTGCTGTCCATTTAGCTTATTCATATATCGTCGTTTACAATTTAAACAATATGTTCGGTTACATTTATTTATTATATCCGTTTTATCTCCCTCAATGTTTGCCACATGCTTGATATTATTGTTTGAACGTCTAAATATAGTTGACAAACAAGGCACAACTTTATCCCGTACTAACGATCGTGCATTTACCTTTTCCATATTACAGTATTTATCATCTTTATTATTATAGCTATATATTTTTTTACTATGTTCGACTTTATAGTTAATTCCATAATTAGTTACATGATTAAATGAATTGGAGCATTGTCGATGAGATTGGCTTCTTGTTTTTCTTTCATTGTTGCTTAAAGTATTATGGAACATTGTAAATTCATTACAAAATTGTTTTTCTTGCTTTGAATTGCAATATTTGCTGTTCAAGAGTCGATGGTTGCCACTTTTTGGGGCTATGGCAGGTATTTTCTCTGGATTCTCAAAGTCAGAGCTGTCTGAATGCCTTTCAACATGGTCAGGATTGCACATCATCAAAAAGTTGTCTACACAAATATCGCGCATCTTTGAGGTAATTTAAATTCCAGTTAACGACGATTGGCATGTCGACTTACATATTTTATTTTATTTTGTAGAATTTTTGGTCACGTCATTATTCTGAATTAGTTTTATTACATTATTATAGTGACATATGATTTATATTTTTCTTTATATATATCTATGTTTTGACATCTTCATTGTTTGTTCAATGAAAGAGGTAATATAAAATTCTGTTTACTTTTCATAAAGTAAATAACACCTTAAATTACTTGACAAAATAATAATAACTAAAACTAAACTCAAATACTTTCTTAGTTAATTATTAATAAATCACACTACGATTTATTATAAAGCTTGTTATTCTTTATTATGCAAAATTAACTTGGCTGCTTTAAAAAACTTAAGCATTGGTTAGCAATATAATTTATTTTAATTTCACATATTTAAATGAGAGTGCTCATTAATTACCCCATATTTCTAAAGAACTGTGATGTATTGTTTCTACAAGAATAGACTAGTGGACCGTTACGACTTCACGGGGTGGTGTTAAAACAAAGCGCTGGGGTACGTGTATTATTATTTTTGAAATCAAGCGCCGAATTAATATGCAGAGGTGATACGTCATGCTGGAAGCGTTGCGCATTGAAGGGGGATTGTAGTGTGAACGAATATAAATGAACATTTATCTTATAATTTCAAAAAAAAATACGTTGTAGGTACTATGTGCAAGTGTTTTAAATTAAAGTTTTATTTAAAATACATATACCTATTGTTATTTATCTGTGTTTATGCAGCCAATTCGACTACATTAGACTTACCATAAAATTAATATCTCCTATTAAAGAATGTCATGATAATATCATGTCGATATTAAATTTTTAACAGTAAAATCATATTAACACAGACAATCGTTAGTAATATTTGATTATATTTATATCTGTTTCTGACAATTCTTAGGTTATTAATAGCATCATTCTTAATGTAGTTAAAATATAAAGAATTGTTTAGTTTTAAAAATCTGAAATTATAAAAGAAATTCTCAAGATCAACTAATCGAACTACAAAACCAAGCATCACGTCACACTAAAATAATAGAAAAGCAAAAAAATAACTAAGGTGAATGCCGAAGCACGTTTACGTTTTAGAAATAATGAATCGACCGAAAGGGTTCATATTATAATAGGGTGCAACCCTCTGTAATCATAGGTGATCTGATGGTCTGTCCTTTTTTATCCTATAAATTAAACACGGGATGGCTATTAAGTTTCGGACAAAGCCCAAGTTTTTGTTGGACAATGTGGTGTTCTTTGTATGTGTTGTATTAGATTAAAGTAAAGTTAGAGACATTGAAATGATAAAATCTGAATTGTAGAGTATGGTAATTATGCCTTCTTGCAGCTGACACGTACATTTTTCGTTGTTTTGTTGTTGATGCCTCCTTAAAATATGCAAAGAATATAAATATTTAGTTTACTTAAGTTTGGATATCGAGATAATTTTGCTATTAACTATAGTATATTAGCTTAAAATTTACATTTAAATAATATAAAATTCATGATCTGATGATAAATCTATACTAATATTATAAAGAGGAAGAGTTTGTTTGTTTCAAGTCCCTAATCTTAGAAACTGATCTGATTTAAAAAAAAATGCATTACGTAGTCCGTTTATTGAGAAAAGCTATAGGCTATATATCATGTAATATATAGTCTATCTATTCCATACTAACCGTTAAAACGTACCTAGGGACGAACCCGAGCGAAGCGAGGGTGAGTGGTTAGTTATAAATAATTAAAAGAATAGTTGTTACTAAACTAGAACATGTTTAAGGAAATAATTTTCTCTATTTAGCTGCAGCTTTAAATATCAAAATAACTTGATAAATTATTATCGAAAGTCGTCTAAAAATGTCTTTCTCAGTAACTACTAAGTACTTATAGATATACATTTAAGTAAAAATAATTTATTACAGTTATTTATTGTGTTATTAAAATATTATTTTATTATTTTTATTTCTTATCATCATTGCGGTTAAGTTTAAATATTTTTAATTATTCTTAATTTTTAATCATCACTGGTAATTTCAATATAAAAAAAATATATTTATATGGTAATAATGTTATTATTTTGGAGTAGGTTATTAATAAATCGTTATGCACTAAAAGAGTATACAAATTCGGGATCAATGGATGACCTTAAACATACCATTCTGCAACTGTACAGTGTACTTACGTGAGACTGACCTTGAATGAAACTGCAAGCTTTGAAAAATAACCCATAAGCCATACACACAAATATAGTCCATCACATTCTGAATATAAGGTGCATTATAGTGTGCTACCAAAATATCATCAATACAGGAAGGATTAACACCACATGTGCGTCCGTGTTATTAAAAATGAACCAGATTTTATACAATTGGACTTTTATGTAGATACCCCGCAACGAGCTGCGTTGTCCTCCAAAACAGTGTTAGGATCGCCATCCAGCTGCTAATATAATATACACAAAAATATTAATCTATACATATAATAAAATTGTAACGAAGCCGAATCTGTATATTAAATATTTTTTGGAAAATCTTATTGAAATAAACATTATTATAGATACAGAGGCCGAATCTATAGTTTTTAGAGTTTTTGTCTGTTCGTCTGTCTGTCTGTCTGTTACCGCATCACAGAAAAACCACTGGAGGGATTTTGATGAAATTTGGTATGGTGATAGCTGTTTATCCGGATCAACATATAGGATACTTACTTTTTACCGCGGGGAAATATCTCATTTCTGATAAAAAGTACAAAACCTGCAATGTAAGAGTATACTAATATGTAAAACCTAAGAATTTTATTTTTCGTCACCTAAACGCGGGCGGAGCCGCGGGCAATGCTAGTACAAACTAAATACTGTTTTTCGTCGCTTACATGTAAAATCTTTATTGAGATTTATAGAGTTTTATTAATAATTGTAGTATCAAAGAGCTTTGGCCAAGAAATAATGTAAAATCCGGAAACTAATTAAATTATTATACAGTATGTATATAATATAATTTCAATAATGTATATACATTCTATTGTTTCATTATAGTATATCGGGGAAGAATCTGAAATGGCTAAAGATTCCAACGAATTTAAATATTCTTATATTAGCAATTTTTTTTAGCAAGTATCTATTATTATTAATCCTTTCTTAGATTTACGCGAATATTTGACATTTTAAATAAAACTATCTTTTCGGATTATTTCATGGATTTATTTTGGTTTTTAGTTCCTGACGTTTCGAATGCTTTACAGCAATCATGGTAACGGGAGAGACTAAGGTTATAGACGTCTCAAACAATCAAAGTATATAATTATCGTATCGACAATTTTCTTTTTATTTAACCAAAGTATAAGAGCATATAGCAATATATTATAATAATATTCAAAGCTAAATATTTTATGGATGATCGACTTTAACAAATTTAACTAACTTTATAAAGAGTTGCTCCTTCAGTTTCCAATCAAATTTTACTCTTAGCGTCCTAGTAATAAATATGAATTTTCATCGCTGCGGTTGTTAAAAGAAAGTTAGCGTGTCGGTCAAGTTTGTTCGAGAAGTTGTAAACCATTATAGGTTTACTTTGACATTCTATTCCATTAGGAAAACATTTTAATGGCCTTACAATTATCTTCAACTTGAGCCGAATATTTAAAAAAAAACTATTCTGAAATTCTCGAACAATATCTTATATATAAAACGAGCAATTATTATTTCGTGTATCTCGGAACGGAATTTGGATGAAATTTTGTATTTGGATAGTTTTGTTTTTCAAGTTTATCTATATAAGTGGTTTCTTCTAAAAAAAACTATTTTTTTATAACTGTACCGAAAAATGTATAGCGAATTAGAATTAGTTATTGTCCAGGTAGGTACTACAATATGATATAACCAGTAACTAAAGCTATTCATCAATCTAATAGTAAGAAGAATTCAACTTAAATACATATGTACTTCATTATCTATTTGATTTTATTCACTGTCTAGTAGGTATGTTAGAGGACGTAGGTTTGAATCCTGCGTCAATCATCAACGCATTATCTATTTGATTTTATTCACTGTCTAGTAGGTATGTTAGAGGACGTAGGTTTGAATCCTGCGTCAATCATCAACGCTTTTTTTTTCGTTACAAATTCTTACAGTGCAGTGCTGTTTGAGCAAACAGATGCGTTGGAAATCGTCATCTACGAGTAGCTCGCTTTATTGATCGTTATTTTTAAATTCATACCAGACATACAATCTGTACATATTCTGTAGACAAGTAAAACTTCTACACATCAATGAAATTTTTGATAGCTGAAATAGGATACTGGTAATTTAAATATTTGAATTTTTTATTAATTTATTCATACCCATTTAAATATATTTTTTATATTATTAATGTCATTTTGAGGTACATAAATAAAATATGATAATATTCTAACAGCTTATTAAATTGCAAAGCAAGTTTTCCGCCTACTGCGCCTTATAAAATTATTATAAACATCCACTAACAACTATTCAAAATACAAAATTATTTATGCATAATAAATAAAAAGTATATAAAATCATAAATAAACTTTGTGTGTTTGGTTGAATTTCCAAAAAGGTTATAATTTTTAATTCTGTCTAAAGCATTTCATTTTATGATATAGCGAATTATTCTTGCTACGCCCTAAGTAGGTTTTACATATATAAAAATAATTATTTCGAGTGTACCTTAGGAGTTAGATATATGCTGTTGTGGACTCTTCTGTAGACTTTTTAAGACTTGCAATTTTCTGGTAGGTATATTGTTTTGGTTTATCTCTTAAGGTTTAGCCAATTAGCCATGTAAATTTCTAAAGGCGATTCGACACAAGCAGTTATTGTGCTTTCCTATAGGAATGAAAAATTGTCCTATTGTAAAAGTTATTCTAAATGTTGATCCAAGTTATAAGGTATCAATACACAAATTTTAGCTTAATCCGTTCTTTACTTTCTGTGTAAAAAGTAAATGCACAAACAGA